ACAAGCGTATTCCCCATAATACTATTAAACCTCTCGTGTGTTTTTATTCCTCTTTTGCTTATGACTTTGATTCATAGATATGTAAAATATGTTCTAACTATATATATATATATATTTCCCCCAGTTAGCCTCCTTTATTGGTTTGTTATATTTACAACTTCATATTTTAGGGCAAGTTAAATAAAATTACATGAAAAAATATTTATATCATAATAAATTCGACGAAATGTCGTAACATTATTCCCACATCTAAATTAATTTAATTTACTATATGATGAAATAGAACAGACTCAAAACCCCATAGATATTATGTTATAAGATGCCTAATGGTATATCTTTGGTTTGCTGACCCAAGCTGTGTTGATGAGCCTTGAATAGGTGATACTGCAGTCCACAGCAGAGGGTATGGCCAATCAAAGAATGCGTTAAAACCCTACGTCACAGATTCTCTTTTTGATTTCACCCCTGGTGAAGAAGAAAACAAATGTTGAAAAAAAATATATATATATACAAAACAATATTTTTGTTTCAAATCTTTAAAACTTTTTTGTACGTTTTAAACAGTGAATAATATATTAACGTTTTTAAGATAATTAATCCTAACGTTAAACAGTTGGTTTTTGTTTTCATAAATCTAAAGTTGGACAAACTGAAAATATTCCCTTTTTAAGTATACTTTCTAACGTTTCCAAAAAGTTTTAAAACTGATATTTATCACCAAACTTTCCTGTAATATTAACAATTAGTTGCAAGTATTGGATCTCACTGGGCTAACTTACCCGAAGAGTTCTTCTTAAAGCTATTTCGCTGTAAGGCCTTCAGTTATTTCTTTGATTAGAGATTATTTCCAAAAAACTTTGAACAATTTTAGTGTCTCAGTTTCCTTGGTGTTCGTTTTCTACGCAATTTATCAATATGTATTTTTTTCCTATGAATACATATCAATTTTGAATTACTTGATATTTTGCGAGAAGATTAAAATTTAGTGATCATTAACGAAACTTGCTATCTGGAAAATTACCAAAGTATTGGAAAGTTAATAAATGGTGCGATAAGCACTCGTATTTTTAGAAATCAGGTGGTGTCAGTATGATAAAGTCTTAATGTAAGATTTCGTTCTTCATGACTGTATTAATCCCAATGAATTAAAGACCAGTCAGTAGCACCCAGCATCCACACTAAGAGATTGACTGTAACTCTTATAAAGCACCCGCAATAATGTGCGGGGAAAATTTTGTAGCATTGCACGGATTCAATCCTGGGTCGCCAAATCCGAAATTCAGAGATCAATCACAGGAACATCCCTGTTTCATAGTCGGTAATGCTCATTTTCCTCTAAGTTTTATATTGTATTTTTATTGTAAATCATTTGTGTTAATATTTTATTAGTCTGCAATTTTTAATGTTTGTTTTAAGTTTCACAACAATATGTGCTAGTCTTTCCGCTTTATTAACATTGCTTTCAACATTCTCATTCTGGCTTTCGTTTGTAAGTAGCCTCCTCCCCTCCTAGCACAACAGCAAGTTAAAAAAAAAAGTCTCTTACCCAGAATAGAAACAAAGTTAAAAAATGGACTAAATCTGTAACGAAGCCCTAATAACCTTCTAGATTAAGGAATTTTAACAGAAAATTCCTGGTCTTGAATCCCTTTCTTTTCATGAGAGGTATAGTAAAATCGAACATGGCCGGAATTCTCACAATAAATCATGGGATAAGTATAGGGAGTTTTCATGAAAAGAGTTCCATTATTTACACCAATAATATGAAAATAAACTATTTCACGAAATGTTTGAAGAATATAAAGGGTTGTTTTGGTGAAAAAAATGATTTTTTTTTGGAAAAACGTTAAAAAGTACTTATTTTAAAGCAAAATTAAATGTGAAACCTACTACTGTCTTTATTTCTTAGAAAAGCACAAGATTGAAACATTGTAACATAATATATCGCTTCCAAAGTCCAGAATAGAAAAAAAAAGAAGTTAAAGATGGATTAAGAATTTTAAAGGAAAATACCTATTCCTGAATTCCTTTCTTTCCTTGAGAAGTATAGTGAAATCGAACATAGCCGAAATTCTCAGTAAAAATCATAGGATAACTATTGGGGATTTTCCTGAAAGTTCCATTTTGAAAAGCGTATATCAAGTACATTTCTCTACACAAATAATATGAAAATAAAAATTTTCACCATATTTTTGAAAAATACAAAGGGCATTTCTCTTAAAATTTTGCCCCCTAGTGGCACAGCGGTATGTCTACGGACTTACAACGCTAGAAACCGGGTTTCGATACCGGTGGAGGCAGAGCACAGATAGCCCATTGTGTAGCTTTGTGCTTAATTCCAAACAAACAAACTTAATATTTTTCTCAACCCTCACTACCCGATGAGTGTTTCTTTTTCGAACAAACCTTAAGAATAACTATGGTAACAATAACTGGCTATTAATAAACATTAAAAACCATACTGCGCACAAATTAAACTCACTGTATCGCACATTATCTTGTACCGATAGACATGAGTTGTTAAAAAAAAAAAACGCAAGTTGAACAATTTCTGACACCAGCATTTTTACTGTGTGAATCAGGCAGTGACATAAATTCTTGTATGTATAAAACGTCCATTATATTCTGACCTTTTCTTAATAATCACTTAAATTCTTTGTGTAGAAGAAAAGGTCTGTATTTTTCCGGAAAAAGAACACACACTATGTAGTGCTGGATATGCCCCTTGTGTGAACAGATCGTTTCAACTAGTGTAATGAATTATCATCATATTTTTTATGTTGTGACGGATTTATTATTATATATCTATTTTAATATCGATGTTTGCTTGAATTAAATTTATATTTAGAAGTGTACATAGCTTATATTGTTAAGTATGTATTGCAAAACTCCCGCCTATTCTCTAAAGTTGAAGAAGATTCTCAAGTGTACGAATGAACAATATATGTGTGTACGCGAACGCTTAATATAGCTTTGTATTGTTACGTAATCTGAATTTTCGAGAAACTCTCCACACGCCTATAAATATAACCAACGCTACGCAACAAAAAAGAATATACATATTATTGGTTTGCTATAGTTAGTGTGCTATAAACTTCGCGAGCTATAACTGTGATTAACGCTTATTACTCGGGAATCTTCAGATATTTGACCAGGAACGTTTACAAAGTTCGAACATTACAAATAATTCAACTTCAGTGGATTCTCATCAAACATTAGTACTTTTACGAAAACATTACATAACTTCATCGTGGAAACCCCGACTTGTGTGGCTGGTGAATAACGAAGGACAAAGCTAGTTAGCTTCCCGTTAAGCGAATTGTACTTACATCAACTCGTAATTAACTCGCTCATCTTGAACCCTCGATAAGATATCAAGGAAGTTCCAGAATAGAAAGAATACTTTATATTGCTTGTAAATTTGTTTTGTTTTTTTTGTATATAAATCATTGTGTGTAATAACTATTTTTAATAACAATTGTAAATTGTATTGTTGTTTGTATATTAAAACATATTTGTGTTAAAAAAGAAAAGTGTGTGTATCAATCTTGTTGGCAAATATCATAAACTGACTATATATTGGCTTTACTTAACTGCTAAATCCAAAGTACAATTTAACTACTACATTTAAAGTATCATTTAACTCAATTTCAGGCTATTCGAAATTGTAATACGTAATAGTGTTCATTCTGTGAATCACATTTTGACTTCTGCCAAACACACACATAATACAAGTGAACAGGCTTAGAAGTGTTAGTAAAATTTTAAACCCTTTCGAAACGTTATTTTGACCGGTCAGTTTTAAAAGCCTTTATATTTGTCGGGGCTTTTGAAATAGTTCTTATAGTCGTTTCTGAATCTTTGTTTATTTTTTCTTGTCTGATCAATATTGCTTGAATCATAATTGCTTCGAAAAATGGACAACAGGACAAGTTACACCGGTATTAGTTGACCTAACTTTTCAGGCTTGTAAAGTTTAGTGTACAACATAAACTGTGAGTGAAAATCTAGACAACTCATTGTATGTAAAATTAAGCTGTATCTAGAGTTTAGTACGTTTCAGAAACTGTTATTAAGTAATTGTTCAGTCACGCCCTCCCCCCAGTGACACAGCGGTATGTCTGCGGACTTACAACGCTAGAAACCGGGTTTCGATAGCCGTGGTGGGCAGAGCACAGATAGCCCGTTGTGTAGCTTTGTTCTTAATTCCAAACAAACATACCAGTCAGTCACTATACTGTAGAAAAGTGTTCTTGATTTGTTTGTTTGTTTGTTGCTTTTTGTAGATGTTTTTAGTTTTACTATTTACTTTTGAACATTATTTTTTCCTTATATTTAAAAAATAGTCTATTAACCCTTATTTGCTTAAGTAACCCTAAATGGTAATCGTACTTCTCTGGAATATGAATATTTACAATGTAATAATTCTAAAATCAAACAACGAAAGCACGTTTTCATGTAGGAGTAATTAATTCCAATTTGGCAGTTTCCCCGTATAAAGCTGTTATATGAACATCTACCTTTTGCTAAATAAACGTGAATCAAATATATAAAATATCAAACTAATCGCCCACATTGTACCAAATTGCATTTGAAGTTGAATCAACAGCTTTTAACTTCATAGATCCTAACTCAAAGCATTTGAAACACACATGACAATTGTTTAATTAACACGTCCTTATTGTATTCCGTTAAGCTGCTGTTAAAACATTCGGTTTTGTTTAGAATAATCTATTTCAATCTGATCCGATGTCGTTATCACTAAAGCATAATTTGAGTGCAAAACATGGATTCTTTAACTCAAAACAATCAAATGCTAGTTTTGGATTAATGGAGATCCTAGGTGGGTCAGTGATAAGTTTCCGGACTTACAGTGCTAAAAATCAGGGTTCGACTCCCCGAGGTGGACTGAGCGCAGATATAACATTGTGTAGCTTTGTGCTGAAACAACAAATAAACAATTACTTTGTATGTATCAATCAAAGCAAAGAAATGCAGTACAACAAATTATATTTATTTGCACAAACGCCCAAGATAGCTTTACAAAGAAATGATTAACTTAAGAAAATTGGTATTCCACTTACAGTTCTGCAAATTAAGGAAAACATTACAAAGTTTTGTTTTCACTTTGTTATAATAGGTTAGAATTTAACGGTGACAAGAAACAGTCGTCATAATAGCATTTGGTTACAATAGATGTAAAAGGCTCGTAATTATTTTCTGCTTATTCCAAAGCGAACGCTTTTACTAGCAACTTTTAACTGTCGTCCTCGCTGTGACTTGAGGTTTTGTAACAGATGTAGGAGATTTCCTGCAGCAAAAACACTCTTCTTACGATCTGTACGAGAAACAAAAGCAATGTGTTGTGATGCTTATTGTACAAATATAAAAATTACATTATTACTTAAAATACCAAGCAAAGAAGAAAGTGGGAACATTAAATATATTCATATCATAATATACTTTATCGATAACCGAACTAGCACGACCATTATCGCCAGTGGTTAAAAGCCGAAAATAATTCTTATATGTTCATCATGCATTTGATCAGTTCTAAATATCTTCATAATATAAATTCAAGGATAACAAATATTAATCTCTGCAATTTAGAAAAATAATAATAGTATAAGAGAATAAATATTTTGCTATTTAGTTCATGTCTAAGCCTTATTAAAAAAAAATATGAGACAATTATTAGAATAAATCGAAACAGCTTCATGACAACAATAAACTTTTAAACAAGATGTTGCCTGGAGTGGCTTGATGGTTAGAGTACTTGAGTCTGCGGGTCGCGGGTTCGAATTCCCGTCGCCGAACATATTCTCCCTTCCAGCTGTGGGGGCTTTGCGATGGGACGATCAATTTTACTATTCGTTGGTAAAAGAATAGCCCAAAAGTTGGCGGTGACTAACTGCCTATCCTCTAGTCTATCACCGCTAACTTAGGAACTGCTAACGCAGATAGCTCTTGAGAAGCTTTGCGAGAAATTCAAAGACAAACGTACAAGAAAATCATACTAATCTTTACATTTTCAAAATACGTTTGTGAAAAATAATACTTATAAACATTATGAAACTATAAAGAGGTGAATATGTTAACTGATCGCAAAAAAACCTACCCGTTGATTTTCTTGAGTCTCGCAAGTATTCCTCAAGAACACCAGCGACGACCTCCTCTGGAACAAGAACTGTGTGTGGAACAAATGAAATAAATCTGTCTTCCTTTGGCTCTGATATGGAACCTATATACATACAATATCAGAGAGATGCTAGATTCATAAGTACAGGTAAGGGAATGCATCTTATATATTTCAGTGCATATTCTAGCATGTAATATTACAGTTTTAAGATATCGTTATTTCACAGATATTTTTTAACTAATGTAAAATTTATCTCTTAATTTGATCTAAAGAGCACTCAGATCTGACTATTTCAGCGTGATTGGGAGCTGTGAAAGTTTATTGGGATAAGAACCGTTCAACAAAATCAGTAGAAGTAAGAACTAACGTCTCACTACTCTTATGAAAAGTATTTACATTAATCCTGCGTTTGTTTCAGTCATATCAATAGAGTTATTTTGATCGCATCAACTAACTTCCTGCATAACATTGCTTTCTCACTGTGAAGTTTTACATAATGTTCATTAATGACTATCATTCTTAATATTTGTTATTAAAAACCACATGTGAGAACTTATGTACTTGTTCATATTTTAAAATATTCAAAGGAAATGCATCAACTTGTTTTAACATGTTGCGGTTTGTTTTAGAAGTTTTCACGAATAAAGTTGAATAAAGAGACGAGTGTCATTTATATATAAACTAACAGAGACACGCAAAACATGTGAGATCAAATTAGTATCTTTATTGCAACAGTACTTCTTTAAATACTGGATTTCTAGAATTCTAATCGCAGACACCGAAATCCATAAGTATAAGTCCACTTGTGTTAAGCCTAATATTAGTTAAACCTTTATTAAGTACGGCCTATATTCGATAAAGAGATTAATTAACACTGTAACTTTTGTATGTTTTTTGCTATACTTTAGTTAGGGCTAAAGTTTACCGTACTTAATATTATTAATATGTAAATTTATAATGTTATTCTACAACCTAACGTTAGACCTTTTCTAAATACACTGATAAACTTTTAATAAGTTGTTGTACAAAAGGTCTGCTAAAGTATATTTACATCCGCCTTTTGTTTACATCCGTTGAAATGAGTCTGAACTGTGAATACGTAGATTCATGGTTCGCGATGTGTTGCCACAAAACCGCGCTCTAACTTTTATGGCCGGTTATGTTCGCAAATAGCCCTTTGTGTAACTTTGCGAAAAAATGTTGAAACAAAGAAACAAACTTAATTTTCGAGCACACAGAAACAACTGATTGTCAGTATATTTGCTAACTTTCACACACATCGACGTGGGATAAGACGAATTGAAACTGAAATAGATGTTGTTTACTTTCACCTAAGTTAAATAAATTGTAGTCATAGTACATATGCATTTACATAGGCCTTTTCATGGCATTCTCAATATCCCATAATATTCTGAAATAAAATATCCAACTTTTACTAAAAATATCGACAACTATGCTTTATCATATATTATATGATTTGATACATGACTGATTTTCGTCTTTACATCTTGTAGTGACATTAACTAGCTTTTGTGACAACGTGAATATATATATATAGTAATAGTCGAAAAAAATGCCAGAAATCTGTTTTTATCATGATATGCCTTTCTTTGTTGTTATAAAATATTCGACAAAGTATCTTGTTTATATCTACATCTTGTGGGACGAGAGAGTGTAAGTGCATTTAAACAGTGCCTTAAGGCGGAGTTATGTGTTCAAGTCTAAATAATTCTGGTCAAAGGTTTGTTTGTTTGTTGAATTTCGCGCTAAGTTACTAAAAACTATTTTTGCTAGCCGTCCCTAATATAGAAGTGAGAAGGAAAAGAGCAACTCAAACTGCCCACTGCAAAATATTGAAATATTCTAATTGATTAGTGGGATTGGCTGCACATCACAACTACCGAGAGGGTGAATAAGTTCGATGATAAGATTCAAACCTGCAACCTGTGTGTCGAGCGCTCTATGCTAGGCCTAGTCGAAAGTAAGTTATTATATATATAAGAATGAAAAAGTAAGATGGATTTATGAATAAAATTCTATATAATGAATTGAGTGTTCTTAATGTCATAAATTCAAGTGATTTGAAACCCTTATCGAGGGTGAAAGGAACGATATACTTGAGCTATTAAGCTTATTTAATTCATAAATAATAATAATAATAATTTTATAAAAATAAGAAAAAACCAAAATTTCAAAAATGTTCTTGTGGTTTTTCAAGTACTGTCGGAACATAGAGTCAGTATAGTTTCTTTAATCCCGAAGAAAAATTCAAAAAGTCAAACATGTAAATAAAAAAATACCTTGAGGTGTTTACTGTTATATTCATTTTGCCAAATGCAATGCACATGAAAATACTAAACTTTATAGATATCCACTAGTAGATGAATATAATGCAAATTAGTTTTTTATTCCAAACCAACACTATGGTAGAACAAGCCGAAGAAAGAGGCTAGGCCAACAAAACAATGAACTGACGTTCCTCATACATGATTTTATGCTTATTTCGTAATATTATTGGCATAACTATAAAGAAGTGGAAAAAAATGCATAACGAAATAGTGATAAATAAAGCTTAGAAATAAAGAGTTATCTCAAAAGAAAGGGTTACAGTTAGGGTGCATTAATGAAATCAGCCGTGTTGTTCATCGGCGTTGAATGCACCCATTTCTCTCTCCGCCGTAAATTGTAATAGATTTAAGATTTCTCAAACTTGAACTGAGTTTTGGTTCCAAAATAATTACTTACTATAAACAGATACATTTTCTAAGATGAATTTGGTAACTAGAGATAGAAATAAAAAAACATGTAATAATGAGATCTTAGTTTAAAATAGGTTATGTTTTGTTTGTTTGCTCTAGAGCAAAGCCACATTGGACCATCTGCTGTATCAATTGCGGGGAATCGTACCCTGGATTTTAGCTTTGTAAGTCCGTAGACTTACCGCTGTCCCACCAGGGGGGAAAAGTAGGTTATATAAGTTAGTCATTAAACTGCTTATTTTTGCTTGTGTTGTTTCCTTAATTTTCATCATATCTTGGTGTCCACTGCTTCTCTTATTGTGAAACTTTTCCAGAACAATTAAGACAGGAAACTAAGTACCAGAAAATTTTAAGTTACCTTATCTGGAAATAAGAATTACAGGTTCTGCTAAGGATGTTACGGAACCTTAATCATAATACTTACAAGTAATTTACTTATTTATTCTCTGTTTCAGTTAATTTGAAAATGCACTTTTAAATCATTCCATAGCAACTTCCTTCTAAATTGTAGGATATTATTTAATATTTAAACACAAAACTCAAAAATTAACTAAAACGATGTTTGTGGACTGTTGTAGGTTGTATTATGATATATTATTTGTTAAAATTTGGCGAAATATACAAACAAAATACGAATAATAATAATAAATAATAAATTCAAGAATACTAACACTAATTAATTTTACACATGAGATTTACAAAAAAAAAAACGTAATTTAAAACACTAAATCATTTAAATATTTGATTTTACAGGAAAGAACCGTCTTGTTCCTTATTCCTGTTTTCTCTATACAATGAAAAAATGTTCACCATTCTCTTGTTTCGTGTTCAGGTTTAAAAACAAAGTCCAGGAAACTCAGAGTAATTTACAAACTTCTTTTAAAATTACTTTTTGTAAAACAAAAGACAACGGAAAACTAGACTAATTTGTGTTCAGCACATGATTCAACTAGTTGATCAGAAGCTTTCGTTGAACCTTATTTAAATGCATTTCATGTTACAACCCAAGTTTATAATCGAACAGCATCCGCTTAACGTAAAAACAGTTTATTCTAGAGCTAATCTATTGTTCTTAATCTAAAACATTTACTTTTTACGTTTTTCTTTCTTCAAAGAATTATCAACTTGAATGGCGATTCGAAAAGTTTTTTCAAGGATTTTGAAACAAAATTTTAATAGGAAAATAGTATTTTACGGTCATTCAGAATTTGAGTAACTTTTGGTTAATATTTGGAAGATTTGTATAAAACATATTTACAAAATTGCGATAGTAACATATTTCCGTCTTTGTATTTATTACATAGTTTACTGCACACCGATGATGTACTTCATTTCCGCTCATTTATACGTTTCTCATTATAATACAATAATTTAGTCGATAAAATGTATATTTATTAATAATCTTTGTAGTAGTATTTTTTCTATGACTTATATCTTCAAATAATCATGATTCTATTAGGTGAAATATTAGCAAGCAAAACAAAAATATCAAATTTATGCTAAAGGATACACATTCTTCAGAAGCCGTGTTTATCAGCTACGTTTTTGTTATTGCCTGGTGAGTCCAGAATACTTTGAAAGATATGAATCGTTATATATATGTGTGTGAGTGTATATATATATATATATATCCTAGTTGGAGTGACTATTATTCAGTATCAAAAATGTCGATGTTACCCGGCTTTTCGTCAAGTTCAATACAAATGTTTTTATTTCATACCAGCTTACGCCACTTTGGACACTTAGCAGTGAGTTCAATTTAGCAAGTATTTCTGAAGTATATCACCTCTCTACGAATATTGGTTTTTCTTTGTATATGTACTTGTGGCCTTTTCCCTTTTTCATTTCCATATTTATCTTATCAAAATATGTGATCAGTTTGAAGTCTAGGCCCTTTTCTACCTCGAGCCTTCTTAGAAAAAATATCAGTATAACTGGCTATATTACTGTTTTCTAACATGTGATTGGATGTACTTGTGTTACGGTGTGATGAACAAACATTACATAATATAAACAGAGATGAGTTACAAAGTAAATATCTTACTCAGAATTCACGCCACTTTGAAATATTTTGACCTGTTTTGATAAGAAATAAATTATATGTTCTGCACGCAATAATAATATTAATACATATATTCTGCATTGTTAGGTAACAAGTGTGTTTCAGTTGCTAGCCTTAACAACATTAAAACATATAGAACTACAGAAGCACATCCACATAGCTCAATAGATTATCCAATCAAAAACAAACCACTAACGTAAATAGAACTCTATCGTATTTTTCGATGAAGTTATATTAGATTCGTTGCAAATGTGTTTTTATTGTTTCAAGATTAGTTTTATATTTGAACAGTGTAAAAACTGTTATCTTGCATTACTTACTTTTGTTAACAATAAATTTTGTCTTAACTGAGCTTTTTATGTTCTATACTTGGTAGACAGTCCTATTATACACAACACACGTAAGATAAAGGATTAAGATAATATTTATGCGTTAAAAAATTTGAAACATTTTTTTTCTAAAGATCGATATAGATACATTTTAAAGACATGCTTCTCAGTGATAAGTCTACAGGCTTACTACGCTAAAATTCTGGTTTCGACACCCGTGGTGGGCAGAGCACAAATAGCCCATTGTGTAGCTTTGTGCTTAACTACAACCAAACCATTTAAACGCATCATTATTAAACTTGTTTCTTACAGCAAAAATCTAAATGTATCTTATCAAAAGTTTCCGAATAGGTGACATTTAAACAGGGAACTAGTAAGTCGAGATAATTACTTGAAAATTATTTTAATTTAATTCTTAAATCATTATTATTTACTAAAAAGGAATATTAACTAATAAAAAAACTTACCAATTGGTCTTTGAAATGTTGGAGGTTTGATGGATTGACTCTGAGGGACGTTAACGAGTAGTAACATCAAGAACAACCTCCATAAATACTGCTTACCAAGGTCAATGGCCATTTCTTCTGGACGTAGTATAAGAATCTGTCAATTGTTGCTGTCTCTCGGAAGTAAATGAACACCGAGATGCAAGCAGCTTGTTTAAATAGCTCAATTCCCCTGTTTACGTGGGAGGACTGCGGATAACGACATTAAGCCAAGGTTTGTGGTACGGCAAATCACCCACATTGGGGCGGAGCAGTCTGTCCTATTGGAGTAGTTCTGAGTAAAAGAATTCAGACCGACGTAATGGAAAAATTCATCAGAGCTGCTAGAAAGTAAGTACTAAGATAATTCAAACATCAGGTAATAAAATAAATATCTTTATAGATATAAATGTAGAAAAATAATTTTTAAGCTAAAAAAACAAAAAACTGACGTTTGTCGCACATGATTTTATGCTTATTTCTTAGTGTTATATGTTTAAGGCAGGCATAACAATAAAAAAGTGGAAAAAATACATAACTTAAACAAAATAGGACATCAAATTGTTCCTGACTAAGTATCGTTTCTCATCTATAAATTTAAAAAATATATAGAATATCAAAATTTATATGATATAGATGATTGCGACTTTTTCAAAACCTAGAACGCTAATAACACTCTCAAACCCGCACTCCGTCAGAAAAAAACATAAAACGCGTATTTACTTATTAATTAACATAAAGAAGCAACACAAACAACAGTAGCTATCCTTTCATAGATTATATTCTAGTAAATAATCTTTACAAGGTATCTAAAACTGCTTTGCTTTCTGGATAAAAAAACTAGATAAATCATCAATATATATATATATATTTAATTCCGTATTAAATACTTGCATAGCATGCTTTCACCTATAATTGAAAATTATTTCTTTGATAAGTAGTTTTATTCAAACTTCATCAAGTTGATTACGTAATTCTATGCTTCTTTATTTGTTCTTCATCAAATGGATAAATTAATTCTAAAACTCTTTATTAGCTCTTTATCAAATGGATTACTAAAATACTTTATTAACTCTTCATCAAGTGGATTGCCTAATTCTAGAAAAACGTTTTAGCTCTTCGAATAGGTTTTAAAAGTACTCCAAATGCATGTTTGATTTCAAATGTAGTCCGAAAACCGCTACATTTCGGTTATAGTGAATAACAAGAGGAAAAACAAGAGGACTTAAACCTTAAAGTTTCAGGACAGTATTTTGTTTATTGTAAACTTAAAGGCGTTAGTTAACAACAAACACCATACTTCTTGTTTCTGCTTCATCAGGATTTAGGTTCTTGTTTGGACTTGGGAGGGTCAGGTGCAATCTAGACCTCTTCCTCCCGCATCATGGGTGTTGTTTTAATTTACAGCATTTCGATTTCTCGGTATTTTTATACACCGTCAAATGTTGAACGCGACATAAAAGAGGGTATTTCTTTCATGAGTGTTTATTATATGAATTCAATTACCCTATCAGGGCCATGTCCATTTATGATCAAACGTTCACCATTTACACTGGAACATACTTACTAACTTGAAATCCATATATTTCAATGTCATTCATAATGTGGCTTATTCTATGTGTATTTACTTAAATACCCTTTAATACACTATATTATAAACTACATAATGATATTTTAGGTAGGTCTAGCAATAGGTGCCATAGTACTAAACTTATAGTACATATTTATGGGTGAGAGGTGCTTAGGCTCATTTCCATCATGTATGATATAGCGATCTAGTGCGCGTAACATTTCGTTTTTATGTAGATTTTTTCTTGAAATAGGTGAATGATCTGCTTAGAAGTCCATCATGGAATGGTTGTAAGTTTGCGTATTTATGTAGGAAGTGTGAATTTATTGAGTAGAGAACTCTGTATGCGCTAGTGAGTATTGCACTTTGTTGTTTTTGTAGCTTAGTTTTAATTTTGGTGGGTGCAACATTAATCCAGGCTGGACAAGCATATTCTATAACCGGTCGTATGTATTGTTTGTACACTGAGTGGTCACAAGTAAATAGACACCTAATTTTTCGTCATTTAACTGATTTATGCTAACTAATTTGTGTTCACAGAGTACTATATAAATGAAAATGGTCCGCACACTAATTATCTTGTGCTACAACATGACTAGAA